TATACAGTTAAACTCACCAGTGTTTGCTCTAGATGCAACAATAATCTTAAAGAGGTTGGCCTGTGGGAAAGACTGCTAAAGGAATAGTTACCACATCTCTTTTGGGGGAAGGATCTGGAACAAACCCAGGAGTTGGCTTCTCTGCTTCCACCAGCCACTTCAGGACTTTCTCAGCTCTGGATGCTGTATCATTCACCTGTGTTAAGGTATCGAGGTATGAGCTAGTTGTTGATTAGTTGGGGAAGGGGGAAAAAAAAGCTATATTCCTAGTTTTCCTAGTGTTTCCTAGTGTTGTAGTGTTGCCATCAGGAATACCATACTGGTTTATATTCTAAGAACTTTTGATTAAGGAGGCAATTGAGACAGATTCAAATGTCTGACAAACCCATAGCCCTTTAGGACCCTGATGATAAAGCCAGGGTTTTGCTAATGTTAGTTCTTACCGTGCTAGCGAATTTGCAGGCAGATACCCCTAGCGGGACGAGGAGTCTCTAGTGCCGGGCCCCGTGCGAGCGCTGAGACCTTTCCTGTCCCGAGCAGCTTTCCAGCAGTGAGTTTAGAGCATTGCTCCCATGTGAAGATTAGCTGCTTATGGCTCTATGTAAAAATCTTTTGGACCATGGTATTGTTACTAGAACTACTCAAGGAAAGACTAATGGAACTATTAATAGCCCATATGGGATGAATCTGTAGAGACAGCAGTTTTGGCGCTACAGGCTTTTAGCAATAGCATGTACCACTGTCTTCCAGAGACATGAATGTGCTTCAAAGAGATTAATGGATGTTATAAAAATTATTTGCTGCTACGCTTTAAACTATAGACTTTACAATCTCCGCTTGGAATCTTGCTCCCATGCAGCAGCTTAACCTTTCGATGCACAGAATGGATGTAGGGACATTCAGATGTCTTCACGGTGTGATGGGAACGGAGTACTTTTCAAAGCAGAGTTCGGACTATAGGACTGTTTTGATAGCTATGAGATTTAACAGGTGGACTGCATCCATCTTCCATAGCTGGTTGCTTTAGGGGAAGGGGGGAAGCAGAGCTTAGGAAAGCTTGCGACTGGATTAGGAACACTGAGGGAATATTTGCRGCCTTAAGAAGTGTTCTAGGATTTCTCTTTCTTTAGACCATCTGTCTGCASAGTTTTCCTCTTCCACGGAAAGCCTCTCAGCTGTCTCCTCAGCACACTCCTCGCCCTTCAGCCCTTGTGCACCTTTGATTGGAGTAACCCTTGCCTGGTTCTGTCTCCTCATGTATCCACAGGCAGTTAAGAACTGACATAACRGATGGAGATGGTTGCATGTATCTGTGTGGCCGGTGCAAGGAGCCTTGCACCAACACGGCTGCCCGCTCGGCAGTTCCATAGGATAATGTAATCCCTTCAGCTTCCTCCTCAGGGCTGCCTCGTGCGCATCCAGAGCGGGGGGAGAGGCAGGGAGCAGCGAGGCGCAGGGGCGGGTGCCTCAGCCCGCGCGCGAGGCCTTGGGGGCGATGTGGGGCTGAGGAGGACCCCGGCCGCCCGTGGGGGCTGCG